TCCTTAATAACTACATGATCAAAAGAAGCATTTCATTACAGCTTTAACATATTCAGTAACACACTCCAGAGAAAGAGTACATCTCTTTCACAAGTGGCTGCAAGACTCTAGGTTCATAGTTGAATTAATACAGTTATACAATATTGAACTCAGTATAAGCCCTGTAAGACATTAAATTGGATGAGATTTAACCTTTACAAAAGATCTGCATTTCAATATAGAATATATTGTTCCTTGAAGAAAGACTCATTTTTTTTGCTACTAACACTGATATGTTGGTGCATGCATCTCTAATTTGTATACATCTGATTATTACTAGTCATAATAGGTTGTACTTGGATCCTTGGCACCTGTGTATGTCTATGAAGTCATCAGGTAGATTTCAATGGTAATGTTTATCACCTCTACTAAATTAACATGAAGCAAAATTTTAGGCTTCTTCCTCAAATATGAGTCCTTTTTAAATTTGATTTTTTTGTGTGCATATCATACAGAACATCCCAAACAATCTTATTCTTCTATATACTCACGTCCCAGATGGCACCCTCCCATAGCCCTCCTCTCCCCTGGAACTCACATACTCTGTCAGCCCTGTTGTTGTCCACTGTGTTGTCGGCACCCCCAGCCATTCCCCAGTGCTTGTCCATCTGCTGAATCTAGTCAGCCTATCTAGAGATCTTCGTTTTAGGAAGGTCAGCTCTTCCTCATGCAGCAGCAATCAGCTGTCAATATTCCTTTAGATGAGATTGGGGTCTGCTGTTCATTTTCCCAGTTCTGTGCTGGGTTAGTGTCTGGGATCTCACTTTTCTCCAAGCAACAAGCATAGACTCCTCAGATACTATGAGAGCTACTCTTCAGAGAGGAAGGAGGCTTCCAGTACAGTTCTAACTTGATTGCTCCAAGTCCTGTATCCAAAGTACAGCCTGTCTTCAGCAAGAGGGTTTTACCTTCAAGTTCTGGGAGGCAATCAAGGACTCTGGCAATAACCTGTGTTATTTTGGGAGACCAACAGCTCAAAGGGAGGTTTCTCTTGCCTGGCACTGATTTTTGTTATATAGCCTTTCCTTATACATATGCACTTGTACATAAATTGGATGTGCATTTTTCAGTAGGACTTTGAAATAATACATTTTCTTCTCATTTTTCACACCTTGATCAAGAAGACAGGTGACCCACCACAATTACACGACATTTTGAGAGATGCTCATAGTCCCCTGGAACAGGTCGACCTAGGAAGGCAAGGAGCAAAAATTGTCCTTTATGTCCCTCTGAACAAATTATTATATACCTCAAAGTATGTCTGTTAAACATCAAAGAAGGTTATTTCCACCAGTCTAGTACTTTTAATTACTGTGTACCATGCAGATAAATCTTGTTCAAAGACCAATTATTCTCAGATAAACCTTACTGAGACATATATTTCTTGATCTGGTATGTATAATTTGTCAGTAGGTTGTAGGAGTAATATGGTTCCCTCTGGTTTTCAAAACTAGCTAGACATTATTTATTTCTTGCATTGTCTCACCCCTCCATCATGGTTTACCCACTTAAGGTGCCCCAATTTCCCCCCCCTTTCTCCCTTAATAATAGCCTTCTCCTACGGTCCTACCTCTCTTGAGATCCTTCTTTCCCTCCCTCTCTTGAGCTCCTTCTTTCCCTCTATCCCCTAGGCTCCTTGTATACCCTTCCCTCTCCCACTCCCTTAATCTAACCCAATTTTTAGCCATATCTGCCTTATTAAGGCCTGTTTCCTACTGTTCTTCTCTTTCAGGTTCTTTCTTTTCCTTTACCTCCCTGTTTCCTTTCCATTATCCTGGTTCCTGTGGTCATGTCTGGATACATAATCACTTATCAAGGCTAGGCTCTAGGATCAACATATGAGGGAGAACATATGTCGATTGTTTTTGTTGTCTGTGTTACTTCACTTAGTATAACAGTTTCTAGTTCCATCCATTTACCTGCAAATTTCATGAT